CCTGTTGAGGTATTTTTGCTCAAAGTCTTGAAAAAATGGATTTTACATATATACTAAAATGCATCAATAACGTAACAGATTTAGGATGTGTTGTAGATCTATCAAAAAAGCTACCGTAGATCTATCAAAATCGATACTTTTGCCTCTAGGTTCACAACGGATCTTCGATTGCCCGTGAATTTTGTGTAACAAAATACCTGATTTTCAATTCAATGAACATCCATTTCTAACCGTGAATATTCATGGATCCGACCTCCACGGTGCAAGCGCTAGTATACAGTCTCGATGAGCCTACTTCAATAGATTTGATAAATGTAGGAGATTTTTATATCATTGAAACTTTCGTGAGGCGTTGGTTACATAGTTGCTATTCAATAGGATGAATTATCTGTCAAATTGGATGAATTGTTATCTTTAGAAGTTAAAAAAAGAATTTATGTAAGTTAAGCCTCTTACATATTGTGTTGTTTTATATAATCCTTCTTAATTGATAGAAATTTTATGCTAGGCATTACATAGATTCGCATTATTATTTCCAACTCTGAACGGAGATACAAAAACACAGTTACTTTGTAATCTCCAGCGACTTCTTTATAAGGAAGAAGACAAGGATGTTAAGGTTCAATTATTTATTTTATTACGTTTGTAGGTTACTCAATCTCAATCAACGTTAACGATTTTTGCTCTTTAGAATCTTGCTATTATACTATTGGAAAAATTAATACTCGATCAATCCATAGATCGTGTAAAAATACTTGATGTTCTAATTAATCAGGTAGCAACTATTTTTAACGCCGTTTTCTTTACGTACCCATATTATTAATTTATTATTATCGATCATTTCTGTAAGGTGCGAACTAATTCGACTGAAATCAAATGTCGGATATACGAATCAATTCACAATATTTTAAAGGTATACAAATAAAATGTCGCTGTTCATTATATATATATATACTCACATTTTTTTGTCATGATTGTCAGATTGAAAATATACAATCCCATCTGCCTTCAATAAATACGTTACAATTGCTTTGCGTACAAGCAAGTAACGACCTAACCGATTTACATTATAGCATTCGATCTGTATGCATCGGTTTGCTATCAACGTTATTACCCATCATTATTAATATGATGGATGTGAAGGATGGTGTGGGCAATTTAAATGCATTAGATTTTATGAATGAAATACAAATTCAAAATATGATTCTTCGTTTCGGTGAAGATCCCGATCCAAGAGTTCGAACTGTACGTTTATAATTCTGTTCCTATTGTTTATATTTAAAAGGGTGTTTCATTTGATCGTTAATTATGATTGGTAGACAGGCTGCGATTAGGGCATTTCTTCATCTACATCAGCGTGGTTGTAAACTAGATATGTCGTTATACAATTTGTGTGTCACTTGCTTAACCGATGATTCTGAAGAAGTCCGCTTTGAAGCGTTGAGTTTAATATGGCAAGTCTTGAATTTAATCTATTCTTTTATTGTGACTATATCTAATTATGTTGTTTAATGAAACTTCAGGGTTTTAAGTACCATTTATCCTCAAGAAATGAGAAATTATCCATTGGATGATGGTATTTTCCAAAATATCCGATTATTAGACGATGCTTTTACCAAAATTTGCGATATGGTAAATGATAGATCTGTAAAGGTTCGAAGTAAGGTAATATGATCTATAGACAGATTTCCAATGTAATTATTGGGAATTAACGTGATTAGCATTGTAAATGATGTTTCATTTTAGAATATGCTCAACAAGTTAGGCTATTGTTTCCAAATAGGCGTGTACTATAATGGGAAGTTATCATCAAGTTGATGAATCAATTCTTCTTGAAACACTAAGTCAGGAGATCATTACTCATGGAAAATCTTGGAAGCCTACTACTAGCCATAGTAAAAAACAAAAAGTATTACAGTTTTTAATATAATTAGCTTAATCTTTGTTGAAATAAAGTATAACATGTGTATAATGATAGTCTAGGTTTATTCCAACTCCTGAGGGTGATTTAGATGTAGAATCAGCTGAATTACGTATTTTGAAATCTAGTGCTTGTGGCGCATTTATTCATGGGTTAGAGGATGCATACCAGGATGTTCGTAATGCTGCGATTGGTAATGGTTGTTCATTTCAACTTAAAAATTTAAATAGGACTTTCTAAATTGTTTTTCAACACAGATTCGATATGTAAATTATGCATGCACAATGAAAATTTTTCAAAACGATCAGTTGAATTTCTTGTGGGTAATTATTTTTTGATACAATTTATGCTTCATTTTCATCT